AGAAAAGAAAAGGAAAACAAAATGTACTTACCTTTGCCATGAATCTGGTAGAACATTGGTAGATACAATGCCAGTAGTTTAGAGCTTGAAATGTCATTTTTCCTGGCCGCGTGTGGGGCGGCACAACCCTCAGTAGCTTGCTATTCATTTTTCAGGTTTTTTTTCTTTTTTCTTTTTTTCCCTCTTGTGATCCAAGAATCTGGGCTTCGTCCATCGGCCTAGCTCAGTTTATTAGACACGCAAGTGACATTCAGGAGGTTGTGGGTTCAATCCCCGTCTATGGCACTCTCGATGCCAACCAACTGAGATAGTCAGCTGGATCCTCCCAGTCTGTATAAGTAAGGTCTTTAGCCAACACGGCTGGGAGGCACCTCCTGTGCCTACTATCCTACCTCAGTGTGACCAGCACTGAGGACCATCACCCTACCAGTATTGAGGGCAACTTGGACCACATAGCAGTGACAAGCACCAGGGTTGGGCCAACCTCCCAGCCCTAATAGAAGCGGAGGTGGATGAACCATGCCGTACGGGAACTTCGAACGCCAGACTCATGCAAACTGCTACAGGCCCAATTTTGTGTGTGTGTGTGTCTTTTTCCCCTTTTTTGTATTTGCTTTTCATGGTTTTGATTTTTTTTTAAATACACGAATTTTTTTTAAAAAAATAAAAGAAATAAATTGTTGTACATCTTTAAAAGATCTACAACCCTATATTTTTTATTTGTTTTTTTGTTTTTGTTTTAGCCCTCAAAAAATCTGTGTGAAACCCAAAAAAAAAACACTCATTTCATTTTAGGTTTTGTTTTTTTTATTGTGTGTTTATGTTTTTTATTTTTAAAAAATATATTTAAACATAAAAAAATAAAAATAAAAATATAGGGTTGTAGTACTCAAAAAAACCTACAACCCCATATATATATATATTTTTTGGATAATTTTAAGCCTAAGAAAAAAATCATCGCGGACCCCGTTAATTTGCGTCCACCACGCGTTTGAATGGGAGTTTAACGCGAATTAAACGCGCGTTGAATTTTTCAACGCGGAACCCTCGTTGAATTCAAAATCGGACACACAGGCCTTGTCTCCCTCACCCTTGATAGGATCGCCGGTCAGCGAGATCTGCGCACTCTTAATGAGGGAGTCCAGCACCCCTTTCAAATTATGTAAATAAAAAGAAAATAGTTGCTTTTCAAAATTTAGTCAGACAAGTAGAACAAAGAAAAGGAGAACGAGAGACTGAACCCCAATGGCAGCTTTTGTGAAATGACCCATAGGCTCTATGCGATGGTCCCATAATGGAATGTGGACGGGCGTCCTCTTCCCTTCAAAACGCGCCACCGGATTGCCCTAATGAGTACCCGTGTCCGATGGTAAGGAGGGGGCCCATGACCTCTCACGGGAGGTGATGAGTCTCCTACCAAAGTGGCCGCGGGTGCTCCTATTTTGGGGCCCTCAATGCCTCACCCATCGGGCTTATGGAACTAAAACCAAAAGTCGGGCAGCACACACCACCAATTTTCGGCTCACGATTCAAACCCCGACTATTCGTCTTTCCCCCCCTTGATGTGAGATCATGTGACCAAACGGGGAACTAGAATTCGAACAGGCCAAAATTAAAATAAAACTAATAAAAGAAAGGGGAGCAAAATAAGAGGGAAAAATCCTAGCGTCCCCCCCCTTTTTCGGTTACGGAATGATCCGATTCGACACTTGAGGATAGCGGTACGAATTCAGACACAAGAGCGAATATAAACTTTCCTTTCTCATTGCTTTTCATTCCTCTTTGTCCCTCTGTACCTAATCCAGAACACGGCCATCGGGTCTCGGCGCGTGGTTGAGAAGCCCTGGCTAACCCTTAAAGTTTACTGTTGCGCTCCCCTTAGCGGTTCCGACAGTCACTTCAGCCACAGGTCAGTCTGCTGTATGGCACGACCCTGAGCCTGCGTGGTTCAACTGGAAGCCCCAACGGCGAACCCTGACATCCCACACGGCCCTGTGGACTGGTATTCTGCTACGCAGCGGAGATAAGTGAGCGGACGTCTGGTACACAGCGGAAGTACGTAGGCACGCCCTGGCACAGTGGATGGTCGGGACACCGTGCCCTCTGACAGCGCGCACCACCACAGAGAGGGGGGGAAGAGAAAGAGATAGAGAGAGATCGAGATAAAGAGAGAGAGAAAGAGAGAGAGAGAGAGAGAGAGAGAGAGAGAGAGAGAGAGAGAGAGAGAGAGAGAGAGAGAGAGAGAGAG